GTTATTCTGGGTAACTGTTTCTGATTGGCGCTCATACCAACAAATCAGTGATTTCGATTTTGTATTTCCTGCATATCTTCCAGTGCACATAGGTCGCTAACTTGTTATATCTGTGGGTATATTAATTCCAGTGCTCATATTATTCTGATTTGTGTCGTATACGCATTTCCTTCCCTTTCACAACAGGATAACTAAAGTTGGAAATAACATAATGGCATTTTTCACTGAACATTTCTATTAAAAATATGACTACCCAAGATCATACATAATTTATATAGATACAGCCCTTTGTGACTACTTTTTTTTATATAATTCCTTAAGGCATGGTCTACAAGAGATCCCTTCAGTTAATCTATTGGACACTTTTCTCCAATCAAATATCGTGCACCATTTAAAACTGGAATTATCATTATTTGGAATATTTTATAGTTTTCCACTTCAAAATACTTTTATCTTAGTTCTCTTGGACGATCTTCAAAGATAATTTACAATCTGCAGAAACCGTCATATCAGTAAGAAAGCAAATTCTGTTACTGTAGTATTTCATCGCGATATTTAGGTGATTAGATTTGATTCCTTTGTGTGTATTGCAAATTCCCGTGAAATTTTTATAGATCCTATGTCTTCATAGCAGTTACTTCCATTTCCTATTCCAGATATTGACCCATTCTGCCATTCTGAATTTTATATTCAGTGGGTGCTCATACCGTCCAATCTGCAACAAGATGGTCAATTGATTCTGGATATTTATCACAGAATCGGCATTTTGGTTTAACACAATTTTTCGTGATGTGGTCTTTTTAATTTCTAGTTAATGGGCATGGGTCTCCTTCTGTTTCAGTTTTTAACCCTTTCATCTTCATCATCATCATTATTATTATTATTATTATTATTATTATTATTATAAACAATCGTGAAAATTTTACGCTTTTTCTGTATTACATTTTCTGATGAAGATTTATACTAAATTTAATGATAAAATAATCTCCATTTTGTTACTACGATTTAAACTACCTGTGGCAATTCATCTTTTGCATTGTTAATATCTGTGTTTGTATATGAATGTTTGTCGTCATTTTAAAAAGTACGAATGAAAATATTAGAAATGTTCATTTTTCATTTCCATTTGTCATTAATGCAGAGGTTACAAAAAATGAGAGAAACTTCTCCTATCGTATCTCCTCTTTCTTTCTTTCTTTCTTTCTTTCTTTCTTTCTTTCTTTCTTTCTTTCTTTGTCTCATCTTCCTTACGATCAAATCATAATTTTCATTATTGATGAGGTATTGAATAAATAGAAACACAAGATGAAGACGATGTGAAAACAATGATGATGATGATGATGCTTGTGGGGTTGACGCTTTTGTTAGTGTTGTTGTTGTTGATTGTGATGTTGGTGGTAATGATGATATGTTCTTTTTGCGAATGTTGTTTTCATGTAGTATATATGTTATGCTTATCATAAAATTTGCATAGATTTTTATTGAAATAATCTGACAGATTTCAGCAATATTTTCATTCGCATTATGCCAGTAAATTCGAGTGAGGAAGTACGTTAATTGCCTCTCGTCAATTATTGATTAAGATTTACTGATAAAGAACGGGAAATCAAATTTCATTCCCAAATAAATAGATGCCTGATATTCTCCGACACTCTCCTATAACCATGTTGGCCCCAAGCCAAATGAGAAAATTAAAATCATTAATGAAAACGTCTTGAAATATTTACCAAGTAGATCTGCATTAAGTGAATATATAGAAGAACCCACCATTAGCACCAAAAACAGAAAATAAGAAAGAAGCTCCTGCAAAAATTTAGAGATTAATCCTTTTTATCTGAAGTTAATTTATTCGAAAAACGAAAAATGTGTAAAAAATATAGATTTCTCACTTTATATCATTTCTATTAGAAGAAATATGTTTTACTTGGCTTGATCAGTATTCAGTGGACTGAAAGAATATATATTAGAATTCGACCTTATAAATGTAATGTATAATAAATTATTGGTTTTATTTATTAATTTCTGGATTAAGTTCATTAACAAGAACCCATATTTAATAATAATTTTATATGGATTTTAGCTTCATATTCATTTGGCATGAATAATTTATTTTTAACAATTTCACGACTAGCCATTTTAAAAAGACATAATACTCATAGGGTTACTGATTGTAAAATAATATAATAAAACAGAAACATTATTAAGGAGCTAGAAAAAATAAGTATAAAAGCTGTAGATGCAGAAGATAACGGTTAACATTGCATTCACATTTTCGAAGGTCAAACTTGACTAGAAAACAAAAAGCCGAAAGAGAGATTGACGAGCGAGAATTGCGACAAAAGTTTCTGTTAGCATAGAATCGACGGTTACACCTAGCCAATTCAACTCTAAATTGATAAGATCTTGCTTATTAATGCCCTTAAATTCATAGAGTCTAGGCAGTAAAAAAGAGAGTTCATAAAAAATAACCACAGTAGTAAAGTTACCGAAGAGGTGACACCTGATCAGTACCAATGTTTTTTTTTTTTGTTTTTGGGATGAGAATTATCAAAGATCTCTAAATAAGTTGTAGAAGTACCAGGACAAATGTGGCAGCAATATTCCAAACATGACTTGAAATATATAAAATAGATTAGGGCGTGAAAAATTGTCTCACACGACACAGAGCACCAACATTCTTAGCTGTAGATATAGCATCTAGTAATAGATTCAATATAATCTTTCCATTTCATGTCAGTGGAAAACATTAGTCAGCGACAATCTCCTTAAGGATAGCATTAGCCATGCTGATGGTAGGCAGGAAGGGCTATCTCAAGTGTTTAATTGAGAGCAATTCCATTTTGAAAGAGTTATTGATATCTATAGACACATTGATGCAACTATAGGAGCAAAACCTACCGGTCCTTTGCGAGATAATATGCAATATAGCAGACGACGATCGTTGCCATTGGCCTACACACACTCACACACACACACACACACACACACACACACACATATATATATATATATATATATATATAATAGACTTCGTTTATATAATATGCATTCTTTTCTTATTCTGAGATGTCTACAAACATATTGGATACAACGATTAAAAAACACTACACTGACAAGTTTCGTATCTTACATATGAAAGATGGCAGGAAATGCAAAACATAAAGTATAGAGGTTGTAACAAGAAAATTGTCCAAATCATGTAACAACAAAATTATTCAATTGTTTGATTAAGCTCTGAACTATTGTAACTTAGAAATGATTATAGTTATTCCACTGGAATCGTCTGAGATTTTTATAAGATAATTCGAGCAATTTTCACAGATGCAAACGAATGGGAACACCATCAGGCAATCACACTAATGAGCCATATAACAAAACTCATCATGCGAATCCTAATGAATCCAATGCGCACCTAATCCGACCTGAGATATTCCAAGAACAGTGTGGATTCATCAAAGACATTGGAACAAAGAACGCAATATTTATGCTCAGAAGGTGCTTTATAGATTACAGAAAGACGTTCGATAAATGCAACAAAAATATATGTTAGAATTGCTCATCAACCATGACAAATTCATGAAGGATATTAGAATAATCACGAACCTATACTCGTTCCAAACCGCCAGTATACGGATAGAAAATTAGTTCAGCAGCTATATAAAAATAGAAACAGGTGTAAAATCAGGATGTGTCTTCTCACCGGAATTATTCAACCTATATAACGAGGCAATTCTTAGCGATATATATGTCCTAACAGGAATTGTTAGTGATTGCATCAATTTTAACAACATAGGATGCGCAGGTGATGCAGTGTTAATAGCAGACACGCAAAGAAAAATACAAAAACGCCTACAGACGGTTATGAGAAAAAAAAAAGACAATTAAAGACTAAATATAATCAGCAAGAAAATACAATGCATCGTGGTTAGCTAAAAGATGTGACCAAAATGCAAATTACAGATCGAAGATACCAAAATCAAATAAGTACAACAATTGAATTATCTGAGAAGTGTTCTGACAGAGGACTGGATTTCACCAATGGAGTCATTAGTATAGAAATAGATGCATTCCAAAAGCAAAGCAATTTATTAAGAGAAGGCAAGACATCGTCAGAAAAAGAATACTGAATAATAGGATATATGCCCTCATATATGTCAGTGGAACATGGAGAAGATCCTCAAAGATGAATGAGAGACTTGAAGCAAGGGAAATATGGTTCTACAGGAGGGGAACACCATGGACTGTACATGTAAGCAACGACGAGGTTGTAGAGAAAATGGAAATATAAAGGTAACTTATAATTAACCTGAGGAAGAGACAGCTGAAATTTCTGGGGCGCATAAGAAGGAATGAGGGCTTGGAAAATCTGATACTTACAGGACATATTAATGGCAAGAATACAGCGCAAAACATACTTGATGAGCTTGAATAAATGGATGTCGGATCAAGGTTGATCACGAGTTGGTTAGCAGGCTTGTAGAGTTAACACGGTTTATAACGTGTGACCTTATTCTATTTAACACGAATAAATTTCACACATAATCATAAAATTTTAATTTCGAATTTACCACCTGTTCCGTTTCCATGTAAATAACAGAATGCATGCAACGTCCTATCACCGTTCACTGGCATATTGTTTAAGCTCCTATGCAGCAGCTTAACGCTGAAGGTTTCTTTCTTTTAATTTTCTGATGATTACGAATATTTCCTCCATTACATCGTAAGTGAAAAATAAATGCTATCATGCATTTAAAAAAAAGCGTTTCTTATGTAATTACTGGAATAATTTAAAATATTTTAATGATGCAGGAAATGAAACAAAAAATATATAAAAATCTTGCGCTCATTTAAATCGAATGGTACAACGACAGAAAAACATTGAATCAAACTGACGTTAACAAGACACAATCGTCGACCTCTTCAGTTGCTATAAAATCTATTCCACATTGGAGTCAGAATACAATTTCTTACGGCCACATAACGTTAAAATACTGCTTAAGATACGATCACCGAAGTTAACCAACGTTGAGCCTGGATAGTACCTGAATGAGTGACTTTTTGGGAATACCAGGTGCTGTAAGCTTGGACCGGCGTGTGATGTAATAAATAATGGCTGAAAATTGTTTATCCGAGAGCCGAGTTCTAATTTCCGTTGGTTTCTTTGTTTTCACTTACGATTAACTACCTTTGGAAAATCATGAATCCATCTCTTCTCTCCTCATCTATGGATTAATTAGTAAGACTTCTATCACGATACAATTATTATCTAAAAAAAATATTATACAATCTAAAAATATTTCTGGCTTTAAATAAACTGCAAATAGTTGATAAGCAGTAGAAAGCGAATCAACCAATCTATTAATAAGAGTACGATTAAAATTAAATTACTTTTAAGTATATGAAGAGTGAATTAGAACCGGATTTTCTAAAGTACCTAGCGTAATAAAAAAAGAAATCATCAAATATGTACATTACTTTGAAAATAGAATTTTCAAGAGGTGAAAACTTTTCATATCTTGCTCTTACTGAATCGAAACTTTCAAAACGCGACAGTGTTAGAATTCATGTTTAAACCACCAGAAGTAACGGAGAAGCATGAAGTAATTCATAATAGAATTCTAACAGCTGGTCGAAGACAAAATTTTATGATGGCAGGCAGATTTTTAGCGTTAATGTCACTGCATGTTTACGAAAGAAAATGCCTACAAATACTCTCATTACCCCCACAGAAAATACTTTTTCTTGTTATGAAGAATAAGGGCATCAGATCACAATTAACTTTAGACGACTATGAAATAGAAATTCAAAACTCTATGCATACAGAGATTTACTAAATGTCTAATGGATCTGAAAGAATGCAACATTTTTTTCACCCTCTTGAATAGATGAACACCAACTGATGCGTTTATTGTCTGATTGATTTTTCGTTTTCTCCGGTTCATCACAGCTTTGAAGGTTATTTAAAGACAGAATACTTTTTAGACTGTAATTATTTTTTGGAGATAATAATATTTTAGTTATAGTAGGCTTTACCATAGCGGCAGGTGGAAAAGAAGTAGATTTATACCTTTCTCAAGTATTTTTGCACGTAAGAGAATATAACGAATCCAGCAGGAATTCGACCCCCGCTCTCCGATTAAAAAAGATCGAGACATTATCTGTTATTCCACCTGCACATTTAAGCTTGCAGCACACACTATTCAAAAGTGATCATACATCTGATCAGGCCAGGCTCAATGTTACTTAACATCGGTTATCGTAAGCCAATGATAGTTTCAGATACAGATTTCGAAAAATGGTTGCATATAAGCCCAGTGGTTGATAATGCACTCATTCACGCCCTACTGAGAGGATTTCAAGAGTAAACGAAGAAGCGAACCCAGATGCGGATTATATATATATATATATATATATATATATATATATATATATATATATATATATATATATATATATATATATATATGTTGTGATAATTTTAAAAATATTTTCAAAATATATTTCTTATCAAAGACATCAAAAAGAAAAAATTACTCTTTTTCATACTATTCTTGTTTTCGTTTTAATTACTTAAACGTACAATAGTTAAAAAAAAATATAGAATAATAAAATATTATGTTGGAAGAAAAATATGGAGGAACAGTATGTATAAATATATATATATATATATATATATATATATATATATATATATATATATATATATATATATATATATATATATATATATATATATATATATATATTGTTCAAACTAATATATCTGAATTTTATATTAGATTAATCTGGCAGATTACGTTCGTTTTTTTTTTTGGTAGATAAACTCATTGGGTTATTTAGTGCCGATAATATTTTTAGGATATGTTGGTTTGAATAGAATATGGATCCTATGTAAGAAATAACTATGTAGATCATTTTCCAATGACGTATTTGAGTTAAGAGTGTTTTATTCAGAGTTAAATATATTGATAGCATTTTTTGGCAAAAATATATTGTTGGTATGTTTATATATACAATCTTTCAACAAAAATATTAGTGATACCCTACGCGTGAAGAGGGCTGAAAATTTAGTATCCTCGCCATTTAATAATTCCAATAATATTCATATTATTTTTAGAAATCTATAGAAATATTAATTGTGAAATACGAGATTATCTTAGAGTTTGTTTTCACATTAGTTGGCTTTTCAATTTTCAAAAATCCTGCTTTTAAATGCATTCATTCAAGATTTTGGTAATAGGTAAATCTGTAATTGTGTCTATAGAACTCATGCTTCTGCATAATAATATACAAATGACAGTCATCTTTGTAACAGTGATTCATTGATGTCATTCCAGTTCACACCAAGTAACAAATCTGTCAAAACACAGGCTGTGTAGATTCAGTTAATTGACACCAAGAAAAAGATAAGCAAATATTGTATACGATGAATAGAAACCAAGGTGATACCTAATACGCGCTTGCTCCTTCAAATTTAACCGAAGATATCGCCGCTCTAAA